TTGTACTACAATATGTACATACAGCAGGACTGCTTTTTGACACAGATATGTCCAGTGACCATTTCCTTTATTGTTCTGGAAAGAATTTCAAACCGTATATGCATAATTTGTATCACAGACAGTGGCTGGCTAGCGAACTTGCATTCAGTTTTGCTTAGCGGTTAAAGAAACATTCTGCTGCCTGGTGTGAATTGTTCTAGTGGGATATTTTACTTGCCCCCTCTGCACATCGTTTCTTGTTAAAAGTACCCCCCCCCCCCTTTCTTTTTCCTGTGGCTCTGTAAACTTTTGTAATTTTGTCTGAGGCTCTAACTCCATGTCACTCTGGCTAATCCTGTTCTAATGTCACCACACAAAGGTAACAGACGCGTACCCTAGTGGTGGTGGCATGAATCTGGCACTTTCGATTATCTTGCGGCATTAAATCTAGCTGATTTTGGACCTCGAAAAGAGTTTTTTCGTTCTTCAGCACTATACAGAAAGATAAAGCTCAGCGACGGTGCCATAAGTAGTGTGAGGCCCAGTCAAGTGAGCTTGTACTACACAAAATGAGGGTGCCACAGTTTGTTCAGAGCTTTAGCACAGGAGGCCTATAAATAAACTATGAATCGCAGAAAGAGGGAGGCAATTATTGAATGGCGTTAGGGATTAAAGGAGGGTAATGGGGTCCAGGTTAGGTTAATTTGTGCCATTGAGTGTTGAAAATCAATTCAGGGCCCTAGAAGGTAGACCGAGTCTTAGTACACAAATTAACCTAATCCAACCCCCCTCCCCCAGGCACCCCCTTTGACACCTAGCAACATCCGATAACTGACCTTTTTCAGAGAATGTTATGTGCTTGCCTGGATTGGAAGCAACATTGTTTGATTATGACAGTTGGGAAACTCCTGCAGAGAGCCGACCTCCACCTAGCCCCCGCCCCCCCCAAACCCAGCACACACCGTTCTCGTGCCACCTAGGGGATGTTATACAAAACATCCGTATAATTTATTAAAGCCATTCCAAGAAGGCGCTGCGTCCGATCCATCCTACAGTCGACAGTGGAATCCCGGCGCTTCAATTGGTATGTGTCGAGTTGTAGGTAGTGAGGGGGTATTGCTTACGCAAGCAGCGTCTATGGGACGTTCTCCACCTGACATATTCAGGGAACGTTGATTGGCAGGAAAGGGAAAGGTGCCATTAATGCAGGTTCTCGTCTCACTAGTTGTGTGAAGTATTACATAACGTACAGGCATGAGAGTGTAACCCAAACAGTTGAAGATGAACAGAAAAAGGATCCCTTCTTAGCAGGACCCTCTTCGGTGCATGCCCATGTCGTATCCTGGTCGCTTCTGTATGCCTCGGAGTCCTACAAAAGCAACTTAAGGTGCTTCTGTAGGACGTGCAGTACTGTGCAGTACTGCGCGGTACCGTGGAAGCCACGGTGGGAGGGGGAGGAAATTTCCTCCCTCTCCCACCGTGGCTTCCACAGAACTGTGCATACGTTGTAACTCAAGAACAACAGAAGACTTATGGTCTGGGCACGCACTGTACCGGTTTGCTAGAAGTCCCTAATATGAAGTTACGTGGATCAGAAGTTACGCCAGAAAAACAAAATTTTTCACATCCACCCTTATTATCCTCCAAAGTGCCGCACTTATTTCAGAAAAAAAAAAAAAAAAAAATGTCAGCAAGAAAGCATTTTTTTTTTTCTTTCTTGACAAGTTCTTTCTCTTTTACTAAACTAAATTCTGCAGGAGAAATTTCTCCGTTTAGTCATATTAGCCCTAGGTGGAGGTCGAGCCATACGAGGTATTCACTGAACCGGTTCTACCAGGGGGTGCAAATGTCGTTAACATTGGTGCGAAGTTTGCAATTGCGAGGCAGCTTGGTGGACGCATGTCGCAGTGTTGAACAGGCCGGATATAGAGTCAATCTGTGCCCCAAGCTTAGGTTATTCGTTTATTTCCCAGCGTGTATCTGTACGGGGCTTCTGCTGTCAGGCCATTCGTTATTTCCTGCTGCGACGTGACCACAAACATTACAAGTAAGAATGGTGAACTGCACCATGTTTGGATTCAAGAAACACACGAAAAGGAATCCCGGCGATTGAAACACTGCTCAAGTTAGGTTTTTCTCGATACCAAGAGTCATCAAAACACCATGCAATACGACCGAAGCACTCGCTGCATGAAGACGAGCGGGGTGTTATCACCGGGTCAACCGCAGATATGGGAACCACGTAACAAATAATTATAAATAGGGTTCTTCGTTTTCGGGTTTATTTGTCAACGATTATTTTAACGTCTGCTAAGTTTTATCTTGTTCCTATAACTGTGTCTCCATTGCCCTCCGTGTATCCTCATTCAAGGTTGCTTTTCCCCTTTTGTGCCCCCTAGTTTAGGGGTTCAAAGCTCCAAATTCTTCAGTGGGTTTTACCCATTTTCCTATTGGGGCCATCTGGCTTAAAGTTTGATTTCCTTTTATGTGCTTTTCCATTTAGGTTCGTAGTCTGAAACAATTTTAAACAAATAAAAATATTTTACTAGAGGTACATCAAAATAAAAAAGAAATTCCCCAGCTCAGAAAATAATGGCACGAACATAAAAATAAAATTAAAACCTGAAAACATAGAACCCTAATTATACAGTATGTGCAAAGCACTATTTCAGGTTAGGCTTTGCATGCTTCGGTGGTGACTGACCTGCATAAGAAATAAAGCAAATCAGTGGTAAAATCAATGCAATCATTGGTCGATAATAGACTATTTACCTGCGTTGCGACAATGACGGTGTCCAGACTGACTCGCTTCCATTTTGGTTCCTTTACTCTGCCGCCGATAGCATAATTGTGGCATCCTAAGGATTTGTACGACTTGAGCTGTTTTCGAATCACAAAACTTGTCCGCGAAACAAGAAACTTTAGAATGTCGCATATGTCAATGCACTGCCAGATGTCAACGTTCACGACACACTCTTGTACGTGCCATATAAACATATCAACGTCCCCTCCCTGTGCGCATCACACAGGCTAGCCAAACAGGTTGAAGTGTTGCAAATAGATTTTGCCGTTACCAAATAGTAAGGCACTTGTACAACATTTCCCGAAAAAAAGCACCGGTGTTGCAGATCCCACATGAGCGTTGCTGCGACAGCAAGCAACTATAAGCATGGCGACGTTCGCAAATGATGCATGCGCCTCTAGTGTGGCGACGCCATGTGACTATCTCCTACAAAGAACTTTTGTTCTTTGGGTATAATATCCGATTCAAGTAAGGTCATAGTCTCAAACTTTCCCATAGTTTATTTACACGGGCCAAAAAAGAGGGACCTGGCCTTGCCTACATCAAGATGTCTCCTCATTTTAGCCCTACAGCCCTTGAGCATTTTTCATACAGTACACACTACAATGCAATGACTTTGTTGCAAAATTTATGCAAATTATTTCTCCATATGTGTGCTTTAAACATTGTATAACAATATGGATTATGTAATTTATTCTTTCATACTTTTCAATTCCAGATGGACTGTATGAAGACATATGTTTGTAGCAGGTGCCACCAAAGGACACATTCTTTGGCTGCTCTTCTTCGCCACTTCTGCACGTGGCATGGCACCGAGAGCAATTGGAATTGCAACTGGGAAGGCTGTGCAAAGACATTTAGACTTTACAGCTCATTCCGCAAACATGTCAGCCGGCACCACAAGCATTTGCTTCAACCATGTACTGCCGAGACCCCTGTGGAGCCACTACAGTTTGACGACCCCCAAGAAACAGCAAACAAGTCCTGTAGTGAGTCCAGTGATCAGACATGTGGTCAGGCAGTAAGCCTTGATTGTGGCACTCTTGATGCCAGTGACCAGTGTGCTAAGCATCTGTCGTCTTTGCTACTGAAGTGGCAAGAGGGCAGACAGTTGCCAGAGAGCAACCTAAATGAGATTGCGAATGATGTCATAAACTTTGCTGCAGAGTGTAAGGGAACAAACAGTTCAATTGACATGACAAAACTTGAGCAGTTGGGATCTAAAGCAGGAAGGGAGAATTACTGGAAAGGTTTGCTTGGTTTTGTCGCTCCTCGGACTGTGTGTCTGTCAAATCAGCTACCAAATCAAAACTTTCAGTACATTCCAATTTTGGAAACCCTAAAAGCTGTTGCACAAGTGCGCAAGCTTTTTGGAGAAACTGGAGAATGCTGCTCTACACTCCTACATGACGTGTGCGATGGCACGTACTTTAAAGAGCACAGTATGTTCAGGAATGCAGGCAGTGAGAAGCGATTGGCCCTTCAACTCTATTTTGACGAGTTTGAGGTGTGTAATCCTCTAGGAAGCAAACGTGGAAAGCACAAGGTTCTGGCCGGGTACTTAACAATCCTAAATTTACCGCCCAAATCCCGCTCCAAGCTTAATGACAAATACCTTGTCCTCCTTGCAAAGTCATCGATTGTAGCCAAATTCAGTCTGCACCGCATTGTCCAGCCACTTCTTATGGACCTTCAGCAGCTTGAATTGAATGGTGTAGAGCTTGACGGAGAAATGGTGAAGGGCTCACTTTTGTATGTGTGCGGTGATAACCTGTCAAGCCACCAGTTTGGCGGTTTTCGCGAATGTTTTTCATCTGGTCCTATCTGTCGTTTCTGTATGGCAATGAAGAAGGAAATTAATGAGAAATGGAATGAAGACGGGTTCATTATTAGAACCAAGCAAATGCATGCTCGTCATGTTCAACTGATCCTTTCAGATCAAAGCCTCTGTAGCTTGTATGGTGTCACAGGTGAAAGCTGCCTAAGTGGCCTTCAGTCATTTGATGTAACTCAAGGCCTGCCGCCAGATGTCATGCACGACTTGTTTGAAGGGGTCATACCATGTGTCATGAAACATGTTCTTCGGCACATTATATCAGGTCATCTGCTGACTCTTGATCAGTTAAACGAGAGGCTTGCCTCCTTTCCTTTCCAAGGGGGAGACAAGAAATCAAGACTCCCTCCTCTTTCGCGTCAAGCAGTATTTGGACGTACAGCCATGAAGGGTTCAGCTGCTGAGAAACTTTGTTTTTTTCGGTTCTTTTCTCTGCTTCTGGGCGACTGTATCCCAAAACGAAACGCTGCATATGAAGTGTACCTCATGTTGCGTGCTGTCGTAGATATTGTTCTTGCACCACAAGTGTGTTGTAGTGCAGCTGCACGTTTACAAGTGCTCATTGACGACTTCTACAGTGCATTTAAAGAAACATTTCCAGGTGTTAACATAATTCCAAAGATGCACTACCTTATTCATTATCCCAGACTTCTGCTCTTGTATGGCCCTCTCTCTAAACTGTCCTGCATGCGTTTCGAAGCAAAACACCAATTTTTCAAATCAATCGCCAGGAGAACTCGCAACTTCAAGAATATCTGTGGAACTTTAAGCCGCCGACATCAAATGCACCTCATGTATGCTTTGACTCAACCCCAGGAATCTGTGATTACTACAGGGAGCACAAGAGTAGACTCCAGCTCATTACCCAACCTCTTGAAGGATAGACTCCAAGATCTTGGTCTGGCTATCACAGGTGTGCAGAGTGTGGTTTCTGTCACGGTCTCTGAAAGGAGACTAAGTGTGGGCTGTGTGATACTTTTGCTTGTACCGGATGATGACCTTCCTCACTTTGCTCAAGTGACACTGATTGTGGTTTCTGGGTTGCAGCACTTTGTTCTAGCCTCGGTTCTTGATACAAAGTATTTTGATGACCATTTCCATGCTTATGTTGTCGAGAACACAGCCCACAGTGTCATAATTGAGGATATTGGACACTGTGGAGAATTTTCTGACCCATTGTACCTGTACAAACAGGGAAACTATTGCTTTGTGAACCCTCGCTCTGCTTTCTTTACTGCCGCCGACCAATAGCTCACACTGATAAAGTCATGCATTATGCACTCATGCTTGTTTCCATCGTTACTGTACTATTGTGCTGTTCATCATCTTTCTATTCTTGTGTACATGTTAGTAGATTATAATTTTGTGATTTCAGTTTGATACACTGTAGAATTTTCAGAATTTATTTGATGCTGTAAAGCATGGGCCGAAGGGATCTTGTTCTGGTTGTTCGACTTCCTTTAGTTTTTTTCTACTTCAATGTGTTAATACGTACGCCTTCGTCTCGTACCCCATCTTTAACTTGTAGCCGACTTCATTCCTTCTTGTGATCACTATTAAAGATCCTTTCCAATGCACTATCACCTTGCTTTTGTCAGTAGGGAGAAACATGAATGCAAAATCACCTTGCTTCTTCTTACCAGTGACACTCTGACCACGTTTTAATACAAAGATCTCAACATTTCCAAATGACTGGCCTTGGTCTACGTGGGACGGCTTCTTTAAAGCATCATAACCAAGAGACGTAACTGAACAAAATGTAAGGGTGCAAACGAGCTGGTGTACATTGCACATGGTTGAAAAAAAACCCGAGACTGCGGGTAAACGACACAACACTAAAAAGTCTGTTGTGTCGTTTACCCGCAGTCTTGGGGTTTTTTCAACCATGTGAGACGTAACTGCTCGGGAGTGTTCCAGCAGACCTGGCAACTTTTGGATGGCAGTAAAGGGACCAAGTGCATGGCATTCCCCGTAGCTCCTTGGATGGGTTTTGACGGTTTAGACAGAGCTCCATAGGTGAACACACTATTTGGCAAGCCAGACCACGACAAAGACGAGGTCATTGCACAAAAGCTCGAAGGTGAACATTTTGATGGGTTTCCACCTCGTTAAGAAAGATATGGATGCAGAAGATTGGAAGTCTAATCACCGCTTTAATAACTGAAAGCAAAGATCCCGAGGCCGGATTCACGAAGGAAACTTAGTTAAAATAGCGCGTATTCAAAAAGCGAAATGTTCGCAAGTTTTGTGCAAGTTATGCCAAAATCCTACACCAGCTCCAGAGGTGTCTTGCACACTTTTTACGATAAACATGGCTGCCTTCACCGCTTCGAAGCCTCGTTGCTATGAGCAGCGACTACAAAAGTAATTTAAGGTGTGAACGAAGTCTCCTAAATGCTGTTCATGTGCGTCCTGACTTTGAACATCACAAAACAAGAGAAAAGAACACAAAATTGCACGTTGACGACTTCCATAAGCCAGTAGTCAACCAAACGGTCGAGTTTGCTTACGGGCAAGGCCTAGCTAGGCATTGCTTGGTCGACCCATCATACGAAATGAACTCAGTGAACCCTTTCTACACGATTCTGTAAAGAGAAGACAAGTTTTGTCCCCTTTTAGTCATAAAAACCAGCATTTGGCATTTTTCACGCAAGCTGGTCATGGTCTGTAGAGCGGACGTAACCTCGCCACAGAGCGATATAATCTATCGTTATGTCTAGCCCAGAGCTCAAATAAATGCCGTATAGGTTACTGCGGAACACGTGGTATGTACACTTTATTTATTAAATCGGTTCTTTTTATTCAGACGAGACAACCTGGGAGACGTCAACACAGGTGATGTCTCCAGATTGTTTCTCAAAACCAATGAATGTAGAGCCTCGCGGCCACGCTTATCTGCACTTCAGGAATTAACAAACACCTAGCAAGAAAAAGTTTCATGTTATTAGCATCTCTACTGCTGCGGCCTCTCCCTCAACTCTCAAAACCAATGAATGCAGAGCCTTGCGGCCACACTTATCTGGGCTTCAGGAATTGACAAACACTTAAAAAGAAAGAATGCGATGCTGACTGTGTGTAGAACAGCTTAGGGTGCCTTGATACACTTCGTAGATAGCTTTCAGAAATTGTAACTGGCGAGCTAGGTACTAACACTGCTATTTTTGGGCGATCGCTGGCCTTCACGCTTCAAGCAGCAAGCTAGCTGCTGCGAGCCAAACCCCCGAAAACTGCAGCAATTCGAAAACTCGCACTTAGGCGAACTTGAGTAAGGTACATGGGCATAATGTGGCTGCAACCATAGCTTCGCCAGGAATGAATGATGGTAGTCGGAACAAGTCTGTACAGAGTTGCAAAGCTGCCTCGTAGCCTGCCTTGGTTGTTAAAACGTGATTGAACGGTGCGGTTTTAGCTGTTTGCCAGTCGAAAACGCACATATCTACTCCCAGTGTGAACCAATATTCACCCCGTGAACAAATGATGCTGCGATTCGTTTTTATGCACGCCACTTAGCAAGCGGGTCGTGCGGGCCAACCGCTTTAACATTGATGGCAGCTTTGTTGATATCGCTAAAGTTGTGCATTTGAACACATTTGCCGTGTAGCGTCAATAATTTCTGCATGTAAATCGCTATCATACAGCCCTGTAACTGCACAATCACGGTCAATAAAAAAGCATCTTAAGAAACGCAAATCATAGTAATCACTGCTGTTCCCTTCGTTTGTTGTGGTATGAATGCACGTGTTCCAAAACAAGCCGCGAGGTCTCCCATTGGCCGTCGAGGTTGCCGAAGATGCCATCGCCGTAGCAACAGCTCACTCTCGCAATGTTCGGGGACTTGCGAGACATCGGAAGTTGTCGTTTCTATGTAGTTTACCTCCTCTAACTTAAAGGAGCGATGCAATGATTTTTGTATTTTGCGCAAATATCGCTTAGAACGGACCCCTGATGTTAATGACCTGTGAAATACCCGTTCATTTTTCTCCACACGCAATTCAAGTCGCAGAAAAAAATAAAGAAAAACAAGCGGAATTTACCCCCTCAACTCGCAGCCAGAACAAGCGGCCACGTGATCCGGAGCCGATTATATGCCGCCAATGTTGATCATAGCCACGTGCTCGGGTTGGCAAGGCACACGACACGCGCCGAGTTCCAGACATTGTTATGGTTCGTCTGTTGTCGTCATTGCAGCGATTGGACACAGGACACTACCCGAATACTTCACGAGCTATCGATTATCACGAGCCCAAATTGAGTGTCCACGCCATGCTCGGGTCCAATCTATGAGCCGCATTCAAATATCGTCACTGGGCGGTACTGCTACCGCCCAGCTACGTCATCAGGTTTTGCGAAGGATAGATTGAATGAAAAGACTCGGTTTTGTCCTCGAAATTACAGCCCAACAAAAGAGTTTCTTGGTGAGTGGCATTGCGTGCGAGTATCCTTGAGTCCCACTAGTGCCAGTAAGCTCGTGTAAAGTGAAAAACATTCCAATTGAATATCGTTGCACCGCCCCTTTAAGAATGCGTTCGTGAATATTGATTTTGATGCTTCTTATGATGTTCACAACTTACAAACTTCTTAGCTAAGTGTCCATAGGATAAGAGTGTTTCTGTGAATCTGGCCTCTGATGCCTCCAGTTTGACTCTGTCCCTTGATCATGGGGCAACTTTTTTGGTCAGCTTCTTTAAGTATGCTTTCCAAATGCTCTCCACATGACGCGTTAAAACCCAGATACATAGCTATTTGGAAGTGATCCTTTCAGATGGAGCTCTTGGAGTCATAGTATCTTATGATTTTTCCAATTTCCTTAAGGCATGTCTCCCTTAGCTTTTCTTTTAACTCATATAAGTACAAAGTCTCGATAGCCTCTTTGAGCGACGTTTGACCATACCTCCTTAAAGATGCCCAAAAGTCCTCTCACTATTCACCCACAGAGCAGCTAAAAAAGTTGATTGTCTGCAGCAGAGACACAGGATGCCCATTAGGGCTATCTCTCCACAGCCTAAGCATACCGCACAATCACTTTATATACAATTTTAGATTAATGCAGTTTTCAAAACGTTCACCAACAATATCAGGCATGCTGACACGCACTGGGGCTCGCTGGGAAACTGGGAATACACACAAATACCAGGAGACCTGCACAGAAACACACCAATTCACAGAAGGGTAATAATTTCGGGTCGCCGGTGAGACGGGCGTTCATGAACACGCATGGGGGGGGGAGGTGTTGAAGCCGCGTTGGACACATAGAGGCACACATACTTCATGCACATTCAACAGCGCACGGTACAATTGTATGCTTGTTGGGTAACCCATGAAATTAAAAAAAATATATATATTTTTCACGTGACTACATTAGTTGCACAGCTGGCTACGTTAGGGTATTGTCCTTGAAGTCGCGGCAACGTCTATTATAAAGCAACCCATGTGGTCTAAATTCACTATTTCGAGCGGCAGCTCATCGGCAAATCAAATTTTCTGTACGCCCGCTGAGGAAGACTAATGGCTAATTCACACGTACAGTTTGATGCGCAGTAATTATGACGTTTTTGACACACTAAACACAACAGAGACCGGCGGCGTATTAAACCGAAAACCTAAATTTTGCTTTTTGACTGCTGATATTTGGCGCACATTTTGCGCCATATCGAAATAAAAGTGCACTGCAGTGCACTGCACAGCAGATAACGCGCCAGCTCATTGTCCTTGCTAGTATATTTTGAGCGCTTCACGTCAATGCAGAACGCGAATAGTTCGAAGGCAGTCTGCTTTATTTAGCGTATTCATGCTGAGCGAACAATCCGGGTGTATACGTGATAAACACGCTATAGGCAAGCTGTAATGCAGTTTGGTGCTACACGTTGCGCCATCTAGCGGCTGCAAAATAAAGAAACTGGGTAGGCCAGGACTACGCGGGTCGCGGGGGCTGCGGGCGGGCGCATCCAGAAACCACGTGTGAACGTCGCATTTCGGAGCACCGTGAGCTTTTTTCGGAACCGTTTTTCGTAAAAGTAAGTCCCAACTTCACGTCTCTATGACCTCACCGGGTTCCTGTGACATCTCGCCTACTCCTAGAGATCCCCCAAAAAATAAACGTTGCTACCGCTGCATGAAAGACGGCCACAGTCGCGAAGGTGACCCAAGCGTCGAACTTCACCGCTTCCCTGGCTTCCCTTCGAGATCTTGGGAAGCAACACGGCGACAGAAGTGGATTACTGCAGTGCGACGCAACAAGTAAGTGAATTTTA